CTTCAATATGCAAAAGCTCCTGAAATCAATACTGATTGAGAAAAAATGTTGTGCCTTCCCAGGAAGGGCAAACTCTTGTATTACCAGAAGCACCATGCTGCTTGGTCCCAGCACCCGGAGGGCAAAGCCCTGCCTCCACCCCTGCTCAGGCACGCTCCCGCGAGGGCTGGGGATAAGCGACTGCTGTGGTCTGGGCCACAGCCACACGAACGCTCACTATTCACTGAACACGTAATACTGGGTGTTGCCCGAATGCCATTCCTCTGCTCTAGCAACCAGCATCGGATAAACATGTAAAAAAAAAAAATTGTCTAAAAAAAACCCCAAGAATAAAAATATTCGTGTCTATGTGAAGCGAGTCTACTGGAAGTTATCCATACGATCCTTTACGTTTTGGTGCCGAGCTAAGGGGTTGTTGGATGGGTTTCGCATAGGTGCTTGCATACTGGCAAGAATAAAGAAATTTAAAAAGTGTGTGTGCGTATGCGTGTGAAACGTGCCCTGTAGAAATATTACGGATTTACTCACTTCATTTGTATGGCTTAGCAATAATTTTCTTAGCACAATTCTATTTGGTTATGAAACTGCAACTTTGCCAGGAATTGCAGAAACGAGAATTCTTTAACCACATTTTTTCCCTTAGAGCAAGAGGAACCACACAGAATGAAAAACCTAAGAGAATATATTTTGCAACAGGAGCCACACAAACCTATATTTTGGGGGTTGAGATTAAATACTACAGTCCTCCATTTTTATATACACTCCACTACTCTAACTATAGGTCCATGTTGTTAGAGATGTTCAGGAGAATTAGCAAGTCTTTCCCCTCAGCTCCATGCAAGCACACCACTTCTGAGAGCAAAGCAAAACGCCTGCTCACATTGCTAGGCGACTACAAGATGATGATGAAGGGGAGACTACGAGGTTAATTAAACGTATTTTTGAAACAAAACCTGTCTCAAAACCAATACAAATAAAAACCGTGGAGGGGTTTGCCAACACTGAAACCATTTCCAGTAAAGCTTTATCAGAGATAATTCAGCACATTTCTGTTATTTTATACTAAAATATATCCGTTCCTCCATCACATTTTCATAACATGAAAAATCAATTATGTTTACATATTTATTATAATCTACATATTTTCCATAGCAGCTTTTTCACACAATAAGATTAAATATATGCACCAATTCAATTAAGTCCAGTAAAAAGACTGGTTATAAGATTAAATAAATGAATTTATTTACGGTACTGCAGATCTTATATTGCCAACTATAGAGCAACCATATCCTACAAACCTAAACAGAAGCACGACTGCTGATCAGGGTCCCTTAGGGTGGTGGTGGAGGAATCAAAGAAAAAGCATCGGGGAGAAGAGGTTTGCTCTCCCAACACACAAATTCAATAATAGACCTCCCTTATCCATCAAGGGTTTTCATAAACCCCTCTAATGAACACTTCATTCCAAACCAGGAACATTCCCAAATCAATGAAATAATCACCCTTTATTTAAAATATAAGCCCCGCAGTTTTAACTGTATTAATTCCGAATGCTTTCTAATCCCAACGACAAGATGACCGATTAGAAGCTTTTGTTGACTTTTTAGCACAAAGTCTGCAAACAAGCCTTCAAATTCATACAAACATTTTAGGCGCAACAGTGTGGTTTTGCTCGCTACACAGGCACAAGTCTCTACTCCCTCCAACAGGTACTTCACAGACACTATAAAAAGCAGTAAAAAATTGCGTCTGTCCCGCTAGACTCCATTCCAGAGGAGAACCTGGAGACCATTTGACATTTGTGGGTAATGGCATACATGAAATCTGTGAGGAGCACTGTAAAATGATTGTGAAACGAGTTAATCAAATTCTTAGAAAGATATTTCAGTGCCTCAGTTTAAATTTATTGGGTTACGATATGACAGATGGAAAAGAGTTGTTGAAAGAGCAGAAAAATCTGTAATTTGTGAATTTGCAGTATCAAAGCCATTCCTGATGTCATCTTTGTTTGGAGACACAAACACAACAGGATTCATGTTGCATGTCTGGACAAAAAAAATTTTCTTCCCCCAGATAATGATAAATAATACTTGTTTCACTATTCATACATTCAAGTCTTTACTATGAGGAGTTATGTCCAAAAATTTTGCACGCAGATACATTTGCCTCAGGTATAACCACCATAATTTTCATTTCCAATTGACAGTTTAGATTATATCCTACTAACAATGTAAAAATATTAATGCTATTAGAATAACTTTATCTAAATTACAATATAGACTTTTCAAACTGCTTATTGTGTCTTTATAAAGACCTTTATGATGCCAGTCAAAATCAAAGTATTTACACCCAAAAGACTCCTTTTAGGTGAACTCATGTTTGGTCACTTTTCAGACGACTGAACACTACAGTAAACAGCTGCTAGGACACTGTGCTCCCTTTTTACAAAGGAGGACTTGTTAGTCCCTTTAAAGCCACAAGAAACCTTACAAATCTTCCTCAGAGAGTAGTTTATTCATACTCTGTGCAAAAAGTGAACTGAACAATCCTTTTTTTACTTTGAGGAATTCGTGTGAAGCACAGTTTTCACAGCACAAATTATGCAGAAATAACTAGTATCTCAACCATGAGTTAAAAGGAATTACAGAACGTGTAGTAGTAAAGCAACCTGACGGCTTAAAGCTGCAATATTCTTCTCACAGGGTAAAAGTGTTCAGTACTGTGCTTGGCCTACAGGGGAAACCGGCTTCTTGCAGAGTTTCTACCCAAGGCAAGCGCAACAATCTTTTCCCACTTACCAGCAAACAACAGGCCTCCCCCAGCACCGCTGAGCGCAGAAAACATTCTGCCAGTTCTGGTAAGTGCTTACTTACCTTGCAGTGAGAAAGGGAATTAAAGACAAACAAATCCCACAAAACATAACCCAAAGGAAGATGTATGTATGACAGGGAAGGAGAAACACTGCAGCTTCAACCCAAAACCAGTGTCGCAGTCTACCATCATAAGCTCTACACATCATGCTGATACTCCCAGCCGTAACGAGCAGGCTGTTTGAAGTCTGTCGCTTCCCCCACTCACTTTTCCTTGACTGGGGGGGAGGGATGGTGGTGGTGAGTTTAGCAGAGTCCATGGGGGAACATCCATCAATGAAAAGCATATAGCAGCAGTAAGATGGTACAGATGCCAATAATGCCACCCAAGATGAGAGAATCTCGTCGTTTCCGAAGGTTGATCCTTTGAATCAGGCTGTTCACTGCTGGAAACCGATCTTTAAGGAGTCTGAGTCAAGGTCATATCAGCGCACAGTATCTTCACTAACAAACCCCAAATTCTGTATGTGGTAATCCCAATACTGCAAGAAATGCAGAACTACTGCCAAGCTCAAGAAAGCAGATGCAGTAAAAAACCCTGATGGATAGTTAGCAGGATCACAACTGTACTTCACTAATAATAGACAATCAGAGGAAAATAAAAAGAGAACAGAACAGCTTAGAGGTCACATTTACACAGAATTCATCACCTGCTCACCTAAATTACCAGCATTTGATATACTTTAATCTCCAGTCTGTGAGGCTTAGTTACTTTTAGTAATTGTGTTTAAATGAGAATGAAAAAAAAATAAAAATGGGGCAGTTACATAAAACATCTGTGGAATTTATTTAATGGAATACTGGTGAAGGGAACAACCAAAGGCATTTGACTAAGAAAATCATGCACGTTGCATGACTACGCACTGTTCAAGTATAGCACATAAGGAAGAAGTCCTCCTACTGTAAAATCATAAAGATGTAAATCTATCTTTTAATGTACAAAATACAATTGCCAACAAGATAGTAAGTTTCAGAGCTTCAGGTCTTTGGAACCAAGAATCTTTTAAGACCAAAGCTTATTGATTTTTTTTTTTTGGTCCTCGCCAGTTGCTAGGAACCATAATGAAATTTATGGGTTACCAAGATACATCTCTTCAGGATGCAATCTGTCTAATCAGATGATGCTAATGTTGTTCTTTGGGCCCTTATGATAGAAAGGAAGGAATAATTGGGAAAACGACAAACATGCATGACTTGACAGTCCAGCACAATCTTCAGCCGTGAGCACAGAATATGAGGAGAAACCAACAACCCAAAATCTTAACATCTACAAGACTGTCACTGACAAGAGGATACACTTAGCTGCAAACCATAAGAAGCAGCAATGTATGCTAAGCTTCAGCTCTGGACAGTCTTGAAAGCAAAAAGCAAGAAGTAAAATGAAATTATCCTTTTACAAAAACATATAGCAGGGAAGGCTATAAAATGCTGTTGCAGATCTCTACCTGAAAATTAAGCTACATTGATTTATATGCAGAATTCAAATTTGAGTAGAAACAACTTATTCACCACATTCATCATTAAGATGCTTCAGTCAGATTGTCTAGTGAGACTGGTTAGAAAATGGTCTGTTTGTCACTAATGACAACACACCATGACAGATTATACAGCCACTGACATCACAAAGCATTTTCATCCCCAAATGACAGAGTGAAAAACTGTACTATACCTCTTCTTATGCACTGACAACACACATTTTTAGGAAAGGATACTAGCCAAGGTATTCATCTTGCTTTGTATTGACTTCAACATCCCTCTCTGCGAAGTCATATTTTCTTTAGTTGCCATGGCAATGCTGGAGAATGAAGGAAAAAAAAAAAGAGTGGATCAAGTTGTTGGCGCTAAGAATAATCTACAGCTAAAACAAGAGGAAAGTAAGCAGGCAACACTCCTTTAGAGGACAATGAATGAGGTGAAGCAATATGAATGAAACCACATTTTTTCCATTAATCTCTATCCTTTACACTTGAATGATTTCTCTTTTTTATATAAGCCATTAACAATCGAAAACACTGCAATTTCTTGAAACGGGCAGGGTTTTGGCATATCTCCCCCAGCCCCAACAGAAAATGCTACTGCATTACAAGCAAACCTAAAGGTACTCTTCTGGCATAAGTTTTAAATTTAGAGGTTTGTTTAATCACAGAAGCCCCATACTTACTTTCACTCAGAGAGCACATGAAATTTCTTGCCTGCCATCAGAATATGATGGCTACAGAAGCATTAAGCAACTAAGAGCTGACTCACAATTAAAAATCAATTTGCAAAGCAAACGCGCTGGTTGAGAGGAGATGGAAATGCTGTTTGAGACCCAACAGCTCACAGAGCTTTACACAGAAGGTTTCTGGACAATCAAGCTGGGACATACAGTCATCGGGTCATTGCAGACATTTAAACACAACAAAGCACTGAGATCTACTTTGACTCAGGATTAACACTGTCCTCTGACTCCAGGTGAGTGGGCAAAACTTGGGTTGTCCTGCATTAACATCTCCTCCCAGCAAGCCCCACCTGACTGTTTTCCATAAGCTGGAGTTGAGTGTATAATGACATCATATCAAATGATGCTTCCTTCACAGCACAGATAAAGTACATTTTTGAGCTTTGATCCTAATTAAGAATATCATCTGTGAATATATAAGTTTCCATACTCCGTTTCTTTACTAATACAAGGTCCAGCTGTATGTACTTTATCCAAATATAAGGACACAATACAGGTGAATATAAACCAGAATTTCCCATTTCAAATTTAATACACTCTGAAAGTTGGAAAAAAGCAACTATGCTCTTAAAAACAAGACATTTAAATGAAGATTTTAAAGAGCTACTCAGCTGACAAAATTTTTGCTCTACCTTAATTTTCTCTTCAGCTTGTAAAACAAAGAGTTACAGGGTAGACTACTACTTGTTGCCCCAGGTAGTATTTCAAGTAGCTACTTCAAATGCAATACCTTTATCAAGAAAAACTGCCCAGACTCCTTTACATCTAGAGAAACAGTAAAAGTTTAGGCTCTGGAGACACAATGCTTAAGAAGGAACAGTACAACAAATACTGCTGTTCTTGGCTGGCATGCATTTCAAAAATAAACAAAGACATAAATACAACATGGCTGGATAATAACTCAGAACACGACACCTGTATTGCTGTTGACTATATCTATGTGAATAACAACAATGAAAACAAATTCTTGGACAAGTTTGTGAGTGTTAAATATGGAGGGGAAGCGTTCTTGAAGAATAAAAGTTAAGTGGAACAACACGATACAAGAGATATAAATATGAGAAAAGGGAACTAAAGCTGTAATTTCAGAGGAGAACACACAGATAGGAAAACGCAAAATGCTTCTTTTACCCAATACAGACATTTTACACTTGCTCTGTATACAAACATGATACAAAAAATCACAGCTAAGGTGAGCATTATTTCTAAGGAGGGGCAAGTACAAACCCTAACATTATTCTCAAGTCCTGCAATACCAACTGGACATTGCATTTTACATAAAGTCTTAATATTTACTGCTGAACTCTCTGAATGCACTTGCTCAATACATCTGGTTCTCACACACTGTTCTGTATTAAATTCATCTGGGTTTCAGGGCTTTGGGCTTATCTTTCTGTAACAATTACAATGTTGAAACATCATTTGTCCAGATATTAGTACTAAAGTACTTAGGTTGACCTGGCATTTCAGTACTGGAAGGTGATTAAAAAAAAAAAAGGACCTTTACCACCTTAGTGTATCTTTCCAGGTAAATCTGGTAGGAAAAGTCACACACACAAATTATGTTTGTACACTTATTCAGCATAGAACTGGAGTTCCTGACATTTTTATAACAAAGACCATTTGATACATTTTATTTCAAGTTTCTCTCTAAACAAAACAACATTTGGAACGAGCAGCTCTGGATCATCGGACGTACCACTGGCTCCCCTACTAGGACACTACAGCCAGTATCCCAAGAATAGCTGGCAGAAACCAGCGGAGGCAAGCCTAACAATTGTCCTTCAAGGCTTACAGTGAAAGGTCAGTACCACAGTTCACAAACATCTTAAAGAAGAAAACTGCCCGGATCAATGATCCCTAAAGTAATTCTGGAGCAGTGAGTTCCTTTGGCTCCCTTCCATTATATCTGCCTACTCCATCTCAAGTAGCCCTTGATACAGTATCTTCAGCCTTCCTATAAGGTGCCAGGCAAACTTTTAAGGAAAAAAAAAAAAAAAAAAAAAAAAAAAGGAAAGGAAAAATATCTGCTACCACCTCTTCGGGTGGAGGCTGCCTTTTCCAACTCTGGTTTTGCACATAAAAACTCAGAGTTCACCAAGCCAAAGCCTGAGTGGTACAAGTGGTATGACTGTGGTTTTAGCAGTAGCAGAACACCTTGGAAAGCAAGACAAGTTCATCACACAGACATACGTGAAACATAGGTGACAGAAGGGCCAGCCTACAGCTCTCAGCTTTCAGGTCACAGAAAGGCTCCTCCAACCGCTCTACACAGCAAATTCTTTTAAATAGAACAACATGCATTGACAGGGCAGATGAACGTTAAGGTTATATTAGCATTCTATAAATTTGGACATACATTAGAAATTGTGAGTTTATCAGTCACTAAGAGAGTATAAATAGGTTGATAATTTGTAGGCAAAACCCTGACATTTTCAATCAGCAGCTCTGTAAGAACAGATTTAACATTTTAATACTAAGTTTTGAAGTATTAGATTTAAAATAAATAAATAAATATGGAAGTTTCAGGGCAGAACTAAGGAAAACCTTCAGGTATTTTTTATTTGCAGCTGGCTATTTAGCGGGGTTTTTTTTCTTTTATACTTTCAAAGTGCCAAATCAGCACAAAGTGAAAATGAAACTCATGGTTAACTGGAAGCAACGGGGCTTGCAGTCGCTGCCTTAGTGTTTATAAAGGGGTTGCCAGAATCCATTAACCAACACTCTTTGTTTCTGCAAAAAGAACAGAAGAAAGTCTACGAAGCTTCTTCTCCTCTTACACTGTGTAGTACTGTAGATTGGAGGAGAAGAAGAAAAAGAATTGCATCATTGCCTACCCCAACAGTGCATGAATATACAAAGAAAAGCATCTAAAGAAGGTGTTAGTAGAAATTCTGAACAGAGAATAAACACCTCTGTATCAGTACAGAAAAAGCAGATGCCTTCAAGGGCTGTAAAAGGGACTACAAAATCAGAACAGTAAATACATCAAATCATATCATAGGTGAGAAGATACGGCATTTGACAGATTACACATTTACAACTCAGCATACAGGTATCTTAGTTTTCTAAAGTAAAAAGCCACAAGCTTGCACAAACATTACATTTGCTGTTGAGGAGAGCACTCAGAAAATTCTGAATTACTGGGAACCAAGTTAAAAAAAAAAAAAAAAAAGATTTCCTAGCTGTACACAGGAAAGCTTGCTCAGTAACCTACAGCTTCTTATCTTACACTCCCACACTGACTTGATACTTGTCCAGATGAAGTTTTAATACAGCATTTCTCAAAGCACTCCTGAATTAAGCCACATGTTTTCATAAGATGCATCCAATGACTCATTAAGGCATCCATTAATTTACAGAAGTGAAAATACAAGATGATTGCCAGGATATAAAGTGTTCCTGAGACATTTCCAAAATGCCTTTGGAAATAATTATTACAGATTATCATGGAACACAAAGTTCCTGCTTTAACATCTGAGGAGTGAAACTGTCCATTTCATATAAAAAGGCAAGATGTATCTGTTTAAGTTTACATATTACAAGATCGGAACCTTCTCATTTCTTTTACCCGGTATTTTAAAAAAATTGGCGCAATGGGCTGGGTTTTACTGAAGAGCTCTAAAGAAAAAAATAATGGTAGTGATTACCATTTTTAATACGATACAGTCTAGCAATGAACTGTAACTGTGATATCCATGAACAAGAGTTTAACTGGATTCTAGCCACCATTAACAAGTCAAAATTCAAGTAAAAGGCACTGTTCTTCACACGGAATTTGATTACTCAAAACACGAGCTGGTTTACCTAAGCCTTTATATCTGTAAATGAGACTATTATGTTTAAGCACTACCAGAAAACACACAGCTCCTGGGGACTACTGCACTGATTGGTCTGGTACAGTCCTAAGTATTGCAGTTTCCTCATATCCTTCATTAGACGGTTTTGGTTTCATTCCCATCCCTAACATATGCTCATTGACTTACTGTTGCCATTTCTCCACTGACAAACGCATTTTAAAAAAAATTAATCATATTCTTCCCATTCACAATATTGGCCCCATTTAGCTACTCAGCACCGTAATCTCCCCAGATCAAGAATACCTCTTTCTTACATTTTGAAACTTCTACACAACATTTACAATAAAGGTTAAATGCTTCTTACGGGAATTGAGATGACCCTGACTTAACGTTTCATTTGGAAACTAGCATGAACTATTCTCGGTGCTGCACTGGCTTGAACTACTACAGTTGGGTGTAAACCAAGTTTCTAAAACCAGATGGTATTCTGCTCTCTATATTTAATATTAAAGCACTGCTGAAGTACAACACTAAAGATTGCTGCACTACTGGAGAAATGTCTTCTAGGTAAGCCTGAGATCACAGCCACAAAGAGCCCCCCCATCTCTTCCACAAATCAGCAGGAGTATCTCAAATTCCTCAAAATTTCACTTACATTTCAAGTTTGTCCTTGAATGCTCAGCAGTGCTGTGGATATGCAAGTAACCAAATTTCTCTTCAAAAGTAAAACAACTGGTATTTGTACAGACTCTGCAGTTTTCACCAGCATGAAAAAGTACAGAGTGATAAACACTTCAGCCACTACTGCAGTCAAACTAGTCTAACATGCAGAGATACACTTTTAATGCTGCTTGACTTGGAAGCAAAGTGTTTTTACCTCAACCAATGTTTAAGCTGTCGGGTATTTTCACCCCACAGAGCAGCCACGTACATACAGCGTATTATTAAGTGAAACGTACCAAAAAGTCAACTCCTTGCTTCATCCATTGAGACAGCTCAGTCAAATCTACATTGATGAAGAACTAAAACAAAGCTCTAAAGGAATGAGACTTTTTAAAAATCAAATAATTCATGTATTACTGGAACTTCTGCTTCATTTTGTACTCCGTGAATCATACTTGCTCATTTAAATTCATGACAACGTCTATGATTAAGGGAATGGACTCTGTGACTCTGCATAGAAATGCAAGCTCTAGTTTTAAATTGGTAAAAATTCTGATTATATCACTTATTACTTCTTTGCGTATACATACATACATATTTGCATCTATAAATATAGACGCGTGTGCATATACATACACATATGCGCACACAATCTTTCAAATTAAAGGTTATTGTGCCTTTTGATGAAGCCTAAGATGAAAACAAAAGGAACATTTCCCCAGAAATGCAAGTGATTTTGCCTAGACACTCTGACAAGGCTCTTTTGAAAAGAGCTAAGACTCAAAATCTAATTCATGCCTTTCCATTCTGAAAAGTCAGGATTCATTGCAAGTGATTTCTTCCCTTTTATTAAATCCTAATTATTACCTAAAGAAATACCACAAATACATACGGAGATTTTTTTTTTTAAATTAAATCTATGGTTTTGGTCTGGCTTCAGAGTGGAAGTGGAGTAGGCCAATCTGGTAATATACAAACACTGACAAATCAGCCTGAATCAGGCCTCAGAAACAGTTTTACAATAAAATCCAAAGAACTTGTCACACTCCACATGCAAAACTATATTAAAAAAAAAAAAAATCAAACTGAGCCAACCTAAAAATATACGTTGTTGGAAAACAAGAAATAAATCATTTTCTATTTTGGAGAAGTGATAATGTTTGAAAATTAAAACCCAAGCACACCAAACATATTAAACAAAATCTATGCTTATATTTAAATCTGGCCAAGAGAAGGGAACACTGTTCCAGAAGAACTGCAGTACAAAGTATCACATCCCACTCGTTTCTGGAAAGAAATATGCTGCAGTAAGAACCCATGTCACGTAATTCTTTTAAAAAATGATTAAAAGTTTAGTACTAACAAAACATCTGGAATAACAGCCCTACTCATCGCATCAGTTACTGAATCATTTCAGCTTAGGTGCTCACATATTCTCTTGTACGTATGTTTGCTCCCGTGGAGGAACCACGCACAGGAGGAGTCAGGCTCTGCACTTCTTCGGTTCTCTCCTCTACGGAAAGTTAGAGCAAGGTTTTCACAGTGAGCACTGACTGTAGAGACCCTGGCAATGGGGTCACCGCTATGCAGCTTGTCAACAACGGCCTCTGCACGCACAGAAAAATGCATTCCAGTGTTTAGAATCACTGCTTAGTAACAACCACTAAAAAAATAAAATGTGATTTCTTGACTTCCTGAATTACACCCAAATAATGAGTAATCAACTACAGCAGATGTAAACCTTGAAGACAGAACAGTATTAGTAGCCAGAATAAGCTAATTATATCTCACTTCACTCAAGAAATCTGATTTCAAACAGCTTCCCCTGCACAATTCTCTCTTTTACTTGGTTTACTATAGATAAAGCAATTGATAATCAGAAGTTGGGTAAATTTCCATCTGGTAAAATCACTTCAAATTCAGCAAGGTTTACCACCAATTAATATCATATCTGAATACCTGCAATTACTGGGGATGACAAGAAAAAGAGTAAACCAGAAAATTCACCCTGAGTTCATCAGAGTCAGAATTGACTTAAGATGATATAACAGAAATGACATTTCCTGCTCAACGTAGATACTAAACAAGTTCTTTTTCTACAAAAAAGAAATGTAGAGCATTTTGGCAACAACTACAACAAGAAGTTAATTTACTACAGATAATAAATGGTGCAACAAGGAGTGCTGAAATCCAACCTCTAAAAAAAAATAATTAAAGTAATCAAAGTTAGTAAATTAACAGAAGGAACCCTTTCAGTAAACAGCACCAAGGAGCTCTGAACCAAGCTGTGCGGTTGGGACTATCGTATGAGAAGCAGTCACTGTGGAGATAGTCGATCTGTAGCCAACTGCGGGACTGCAGCTCACACAAATGAAACTCAAAGCAGTTTTAACCCCTCCAGGACACCTACTGATGACACCATGGAGCTTCTGAGTAGGCTCAAAACTGATGGAGGAACCTGGGTGAATATTCAGGTAGCCGCCCTGTTTTGAATGCCAGTTTGCCACGGCTACATTCCCTTGCACAGGTAAATTGACACGGAGATTCACTTATCACGCATACGCATACTCTCAGCTTCTCCGATGACACATAATCAAGAGGCTAAGCAAAGAGCTCAAATGATAAAATACAATTCATTTTGCAGGATATTAAGCTTAATAAATCACCATATGCTGTTTAATGCTCTAGTTACTGGAGCAGCAGCAAATAAGAGATCCAACAAATGCTGAGCATTTTTACAAGACAGAAAATTAGGGCTACAAGCATGGCAATAAAGGAGAGGATTTTTAATCAGGAAAGGACCAGAACCCAGAGTAAAACAAATATTCACAATAACTGTGCTAAGTTTGGCAAATATCTTTATGAGGCTGTGGTAAGATTACACCTACATTTTCAGCCATTATTGTACCAACCACTTCTGGTTCATCACTGCACGTTAATGTGGTTTAACACATTCTTCCACCATGTTAATTATACTGAGCCCACTGTATGTACTTAAGCTAGCCAGCCCTTAATGGACATAGAGCCTTGCTGCACCTCTAATTACTCTTCTTGATCACTTATGCCAGTACATGCATTATCTGAAAGCATATCTTGCTTGCTTTCTTCCTTTTTTTTTTTAAAGCAATAATCTAAAATTTAAAACCATTAAGTCAGGCACTCTGAATTATTGGTCTGCAAAATCCCAGAGTTCAATGGAAGACTGGGAAGGGCACAGATGAGAAAAGTAATTTATGACGCTACAGTTCTAAAATTTCTAGATCAGTTAGAGAAGGTAGCATTCAAGTATTCAAACCATGTAAAAAACCCAAATGACAAATAACTATACAACAGCAATAACCTTTTAAGACCTTTTGGTAAAATTTCTAACCGATATCAGCTGCATACTAGGGTGCTGAATACATTGAGGGATTACAGAAAATTATGTTGTAGAAGAGTGTCACTGTGAGAAGAAACAGCTTGACTACTGGAATAGCTCTCAACAGCTCAACCTGAGATTCACTTTGCTCTATCATTCCCTGTGTTTCTGTAGGGGTTATTCACCTTTGAACAGAAACTCAAGTTTTCTAAACTACGATGAATAAAATATTTAAACAACACCATTATGTCAACATTGACTAGAAAAAAAACCCAAATCCTACCACCACTTTATTGTAATACTGCCTATGAGTTGTAAACAATACAGTTACTGTATAAATAATAGATCTTTAGACACAATTCAATGTAAATGCTGATTGTACAGAAAAGAATTAAAATTAGGAAGTTAATTCTTACCTTATTGTTTCTTCTATCAGTCGATCTGAGCTGAAAGCCAAAAGAGAAAAAAAGAAGTTAAAAAAGTAATGTGGTTTTGCACCAGCTGGCAGCTAAGCGCTAGTAACAAGTACTAAGTATTATTTTAGTTTATTAAATCAATGATCACCATAATACAAACCTTAACAAATTTGCCCTTAGAATGTCTTATTTCAGGATGTAGTCACTTTTTGCTACTACATAGATTTGGTATATGTAATGAGAGTCTTTGGAGAAGATGCACATAGTGTCCTCTGGAGCAGCATTTCCTAACTGCATGCAAAAGCAGATGCTCAGGGGAACACATAAAACACTGAGAAGACAGAAAAAGGGCAATGGGCTCCATGATTCATGGCTAATTAGTGTTAACTGAGCTTGATGCATACCAGGTGCCCAGGGCAGTTTGTTAAAGACTATTAGAGAAGAAAGTACCTAATTTTATTGCTTTTTAATCCTGGTCATTCCTGCCCACCCCTTCAAAAAATGTAATTAAAAATAAAAGCTGAGACTTCGTTCCAGGTAGTAACATCTCAAAACACTGCTTCAGAGCTAGTTCACCAAACTCTTTTATGGTGGTGAACTCAGCAAGTTCTTTCTACAATAATACCAGTTGGATGAGAATTAAGCGATGCTTATGGGAAATGGAATACATGCCATCTGTAAGAGAGAGACCTTGGTAACATGTGCCCCTTCCCCCTCGCTGGCACATATTAATCGAGTTTCTATGTAGCATCGCTGGGAAAAGGACAGCCTGAAATACAGCACCACAGAGAGAACATTTCATTTAAAAATGGATGTGCAAGATTAAGATGACAAACAAGATCCTCAGAAGACTGGAGCAATTTCTCTTTTCCTGTACTCAATTTCTTATAGACAGGTTTTTAATCACTGTTTTACAGCCCATTATGAAATCCCAGAAAAATGTATCTCATTACAGCAATCAGCATCTTAAATGTAATACTGACATGGAATAGGTGACTGCATCCCTGCTTTCCATACTACAGAAACAACGATGCATCCCTACAATTGCTCCATTTACCCCACAGATTTACAAAAACTCTTGTAAAATAACCAAAAAAATGGGAGTTTGCAGTTTAAGAAGGAAATCAATCTGATAGAAGTTTCATGTTGCAGTGGATATTGCTTCCAGTATTAAAGCAGAACTTACTGCTGCCAAGCCAAAAGGATTAAAAGACACTGCAAGGCACGACTGCCTTCATCTTCCATCCTCCTTGTTCAAGTGTTTTGCCACCCCAGGAAGGGATGGTATCAACAGCCTCCGGCGCAGCACAGTTCTGCCTCTGACTCAGCCAGAGCTGCCCAATTTGGAACTTTTCTTCTACCCACAGAAATTCTGGAGATCCCCCCACACCTCCAGCTGGAGGCACGGTGAAGGAGCACGTTGTGCAGCGTGCGTGTGTAAACTGCTC